CAATTCAACTAAAACGTTATTACAACAAAATTAAAAGAAATGATTGATTGAAGAGTTTATTTTTCTTGTATGTTTATTTATAATTATATTAAATAGTCACGTTATGTAATTTCTAAAATATATTTTATTTCGTTTATATTTTAGTTCGGTGGTTCTAATGTTAACGTGAACCATATACATTACTATTTTATCCGTTATTGATTTTAATGAGTCCCTTGTCACACCAGTTTTTGATTTTGATGAAAAGGGTTAATTGTTCGACACTGTATTAGAAATGAATTCGACCACGCTGTTGTGTCTGGATAATCGACATTGCAACAGAAACTTTGACAAGTCGAGCTTAATATAACCTCCCCCCACTCCCCGATTAAACTTTCTCTCCCGATCGAAATCCATTTATCACGCGTCCGTCTCTGTAATAAGCTCGCGCGAAGGCAATCCGTGTCTCAATTAGCACTCTTCAGGTTATATTTGTATATTGTAATCGATCGGACAATAATGACGAGATTATTTCACGTTTCGTTCACAATTTCTACAGACCGGAGGGTATTTCCGGGCACAGGCGGAGAGTGAAGAACAGGGAATAGGGGACGGATAATGGAATAATATCCATCTGATGGCCGTTTACCCTTTAACGATGATACCTCGGTTTCGGTCGAACTGCGCGAGAGAGAGCAGTTACGTGTCAAATTTAATTTCACAGGAAATTTTCCGCGTACCCACCGCCATTTTGCCGCGCCCCCAACCCCCCATCCCCCGCCACTTGGATCATAATCGTGCTAATCATTAATTTCGGGGCTTAGCTTCCGGCGCGCTGACGTTTCAGTTATCGCCGAAAGGGTTTATATCGTAAAATTAGGGACACCTTTTTGATCGTTGATCGTAGGGAAACTTGTACAATGTACTTGCAATGGAAAATTTATGTATCACGAACAATTTTGTCGGTATTAATCTGAAAAATCTGCGACGTGATAATAATGAAGTATACATTTAAATGCAATGGAAGGATATTGGAGTAAATGGGAATAATAGATTTTCAATAAAACTGTAATGAAAATTAACGCTAGAACTATCGACGATAAACATAGAATATACAGGTTGAGCCAATGAGAACTAGTATCTAAAACAACTCATTACTTATTAGTTGTATCAAAAAACGTTTTAATGAATTATATAGCATTTTAATGGACGTATCGGATGATTACAATTTGATTTCATTATATCTGTTTTTTTAGATATCAAGCTGACCTTGAGTTTTTTCAAGGTTAATGCATCTTTTTTTTAATACCATCATACTATAGGTTGTTGAATTCGTCCTTCTATTGGCAACAATGTAGTATTACAAAAAAGGCACTGACCTTGAAAAAATACAAGGTCACCTTAAAATCTTGAAAACAAAATAAGATATAAAAAATCTAATTGTATCCATCCGATGCATCTGAATCATTTTAGGTAGTATTTCTATCGGAACGATGCACACGACATATTTTTGAAAATACAAAAATTTATGTATTTGATTGTTGACAGATCATTAAAGGGAACAGTGTAATAAAGTTTAGGTATATTTTACTTTGTACAATTAAATTTTACTGGGCTCGTGTTATTATATAACAAATGTAGAGTTATGCAAAAAGATCATTTCACGTGTCTAATAAAATAGAAACAAATGAATTCTCTGTTCCACGAAAGAAACGAGCGCAAAGCACTCGGTCTCTAATTATTAATTCACTTTACTACCAGGGATAGGGTAACTTAATCGTGGCTATCGTCCCCTCTAATCGGCCACTATCTTTAGTACGCGTCCGTGACAGAAACGTCGTCGAGAGTGCCGTTTCTGGCATTCCATAATAATGTGTAATCTTTTACATATTTTAGGAGTGGCAACATCTGGGTCACAGGGTCTCCCAACTATACGAATTGTACCAAAAATCGTGGATCGATCAAAAACAAGGAGACTCTTGATACAAGAGCTCTTATTTTCAACTTTCGAGTTTTGTTTACGTCACCCCCAAAATAGTTCCAATTAATAAAAAAGTAATCTATGTGAAGTTTGAACTCGAACGGAAAAAATTCAGTTCGAAATTTTGAAAAAAAACAGTCATTTAGTGTTCAAAATATAAAATACACATTTTTTAAGTCTTTATTGATAAAAAAATGACGAAGGCACATTTCAATTTTCAAAATTAAAAGAAAAATTTTTACAATTATTTCCAGGCGTTTTAAAATATTTTTCGAAAACCATTTGTCGCACGAACAATGTAGTAGACCATAAAATATGCTCCTTGTCTAGATCTACACCTTTTGTCTGACATGTTTTCTGATATAATCAATAAAGTAGAGCATAATCGAATAAAACTGACTTTGCGTGCGTTTAAGTAATTATTTAAATGTTTAAGAGCCCAGGTGCACTGTGTGCGAAATATTAGATTCTAAATTGAGAGAAATAAACATGAATAAATCCCATAAGTACTTTCAAAGTGTATACTCACCTTCGACTCTCACTGTATATTTTTCCCTGCGCAATTTCACGGGGAACCCTCTCGTAGTTTTACATTCGTATCGTTCTTATCGGTTCGTTTAATAATCGTGCATTGTACGGTATTTCGTGTTACATACACCTTTTACGACACCACTGGTTGTTATCTTTATAATGCCGTCAAAAACGTCGCGTTAAAATGCGAACGGTAGATCCCAGCGAAGCGATACGAAAGGATTATCCGTTAAACGTTGTTTAGACGCTCGCGAGACATTAGAATCGAATCGCATCTCCTACTTACAAGTAGGGCTGGGACTTTTGTTGAATTTTTCTGTATTCGAATATTCGAATACTTCGAGAGATTTTACAATTCGCTAATTACCGTAATAACAATGCGAATAAAATTCTCCCCGGTGTAACAGCCGTATAAAACGGTCACGCAAAACGACAGCCAGGTATCCCCGCTTCCAATCGCATAACATATTTATCACATTCTTCATTCTCATTACCGCATACCGTATATCATGCTTCGAGGGGCATTAAATCCACGGGTATGCATATCGCATTAAATGCACTTTCTGTTATTCATGCGCTATTACTACGCGACAGATAAACGCTTAATGATGCCGATAGTCACGCTTCAAAGAGAATTCGAGCCGAGAAAACACCGCGGCGGCAGCGTTTCGTGCGCGCGCGCGTTAAAATTTCACTAACAAGAGCAAATTACAGAGGAGAGGGAGAAAGAGAGAGAGAAAAAAAAGAAGAGAGAATCCGGAAATGTTTCATCACCCCGTGCATTATAATAACATTGAACAGGTCGTCTCGAATTAACGAGTTGCTCGATCTCATCGTTACTTTTCGAATGATGGTCTTTTTGCTGAATGATTCCTACGTGTTTGAATAAAAACTTTTTTTTTTTTTTTCAAAAAATGCCAACCGACTTCGAAATGCGCTGAAAAGTAGAAAATAATTTCTATTTTTATTATTTATATAGAAATACAATAACGGTTAAGAAAACTTATTTCCCCTTGTTAAACAGCATATTGAATGCATTGCAAAATTTTGAAACGAAGAACTTAAATGGCATCTAGGGACATATTTTATAAGGTACGTGTTTTTTTTGTGGGTAGAGGCATTTCAGAGATTTCAAAGATATACAGGGAAATATGGAAACACGTATCTACCTTCAAGGGATGTTTTCACCCTGAAGAACTGACATTGGGCCAAAAACAAAAATTGCGCTATACTTCTTTTGAGGTCCCCTACAAACCTGCAAAGTTTAAAAAAAATCGGAATTTTCGGGTTACCGAACTTCCCTTGTAAGTATTAACATAGAAATAGTGAAAAAAGAATTGTTAATTTCAATTTTACTTATGTAAAAAGCGAATGATTTCATAGAAATTTCGCAGTTCGTTTTCTGTTGAACCATATTTTTGTTCTTTTGTTAAAATAAATGTTTATGATCATTTATTTTTTGAAACCGATGTGTACACTTTCTTTAAGTAATCCCAAAATGCTACGAAACACTAATTTTTCATTGGTATGGAATAATTATAAGAATTCATCACAAAACATGCTGACCTTATAGAAATTTAGGCTAGTGTATATATATGTATGTATACATATACACACACACACACACATAATGTACGACGCGGCAGAACGACTTGGTCCCGCGAACAGGTCCGTGGAACCGTATTGGCCTGGCCATTCCCAATCCCTAACAGCGTGTACAATAATTGCCCGGGATGAACGGCGTCCCGATAAGAGAATCTCGAACGAGTTTTAACCGCGATTTACGCGTCTAGTTTCGCATAAGTGACCGAGATAAAGGCCTTCGTTTTGATCCCGCGGCGCGTTCGGCCTTACCCGCCGTTGGATCCAGTAATGGCGAACCGGCCGCAATCCTATCGGAGGGCTAACGGTAATTTTATTAATACTCTTTCCGCTGAAATCCAACGATTGCACCTGCTCCTCTTCCCCCCTTCTCGACTACAAAGACGACGTTACAATTTGCACTCGGGGCCACTGAGTAAATCGTTCCTTCGTGTACACTCGTGAAAGCTGCGTTTTTACGGTTTTACAATCGTTTCCCAAAGTGAGGTTAGGTTCGTGTGTAAGTGCGGTGATCACGTGATCCGGACGTGTCGCCACTTTATTCTGGAATTTCAAGGGTCTGTTTTGCTCCCTTCGACGAGATGACATTAGTTCCCATATCGATATACATATACAGGATGAGTCACCTAACGTTTGCACCTCAAATATCTTCGTTGTTTTTAAAGATACGTAAAATGTCTCAAGGACAAAGTTGAATAGTTCAATGGGGTTCACACGGTACCAAACAAATTTTTGTTTTTGTAATTTTTTTTAGGAAAGGCAGGATTCACTATATGTCATAATCAAACGTTACGAAAACGTCGCACTCAGCCTTATAAGGTTTATTTTTCATGTTACTTTTACATAATTTTTTTGAATAAAATCTGATGTTGCTTATTTTGAACGTCCGTTGATATTTCTGCCGCAGTTGCCGGAGCGTTTCCGAGGAGGATCGGTCATCCGTACCAAAACAGAACGCCACCGAAGAGAAAGAAGCCGAGGACCAGCTTCACCAGACTTCAGATTGCCGAACTTGAGAAACGTTTTCACAAACAGAAGTATTTAGCGTCCGCCGAAAGGGCTGCACTCGCGAAATCGTTGAAGATGACTGACGCTCAAGTGAAGACCTGGTTTCAGAACAGACGAACAAAATGGAGGTGAGTTCTGAATGTTCATCAACTGTCATTAAAACTTACGAAATTTAAGTTATTAACAATCATTGAGTTAAAATTTAAGTTATTAACACTTATTAAATTAAAACCTAAGTTTAATTTCGTTTGGAGCCTGATAAAACCAGTGCAAACAATCTTCGGTCATAAATTCAGTTTCTATAAATTGGTCCACAAAAATCTACATCTGCATAAACATCCACAATCTACTTACATGGTCGTAGCCAAATTATCAGATAAGTAGGGGGGGGGGAGCAAAATGCAATTTTTTTCAGTGGTGGGATTCATTCGGTAGAACCGTTTCCTTAAAGTTTTGTAGTTTCACCGAATCGATTGTTAAACTGATACTTGTAACCGTATTAACTTGGTTATTTCGTAAAAGGTTCATTATAAGTTTGTTATTTTCATTTTTGTAGTTGACGCTGAAGTTGCGAACCGGTTGTTTAATTATTTCAATCCCACCTTTTTCCTCTATGGCAGGGCAAAGGCCACTTTTTTCCCTCTGGGGAGGGTGGGCAAGTGCCTCCCTCTACCGCCCCTCGCTACGTCAATGTCTACTTCTGACCCTATAAAATAAAGCTGACCCCCGATGAAGCAAAAAAAATCTCCAAAAACTGACGAAATAGTTTAATTTCGCTCTTTTATACCCGACATCGTTCATTCTTCACGGTGAAACAAGATGGCCACCCGGAAACCAGGTTCAACGAGACTGGCACATGACCTTCCGGGTTCTGGCCATTATTGAATCTGGGGGTCGAAGCGTCGATGGGACTGAAAGGGAAAACGCGGAGGATTGGAAACCGTGCCGGAATGTTAATAGCGTGGGTCACCAGGGTCCTGCCGCCTTACGTGGTACCTGGCGGACGCGCAGAGGGGGCCCCCGAGTGTATTGGGGCCTCTTCAAGATAATAAAGGACGAAAAACACGTCATTTAGATAAAACGGGGCCCGTTCGTGGAGCGGGCATGCGATACCAAGGGCGTCTTCGCGGCGGGGACGAACGCCAGGGGACATTCTTCAGGGGTACAACCTGGCGTACCCCCTCGTTCTCCAGTCTAATAGTTTCGGAGTGTGGTTTAAAAGCGTCCATCCAGATGTCCTTGAATTATTCTGGGAAGTTGGAATAGGGAACGCTGATTATCCGAATTGACGATTATCGGGAACGTCGATCGTCCCAAATAATGATCATCGGGGATACAGGATGAGTCACGAATGTTTTATAAAGAAATCGGTGGTGAGAAGGACATTCAGATGACGAACGTGGGTCAGTCGAGACCCAGGAGATATTCTTCAAGGATGCAGCTTCTAACCCTCGCTGTCTGTTTAATATTTTTAGAGGATTTTTTAACCCATTGTATAATTTCATTTAATAAAAAAAGTAAATTCATTTATTTCATTAACATAGTTTGTGATGCAACAAATAAAACTATAAATTTAAACGCATTACGAATCGATAGTTAACGACGAACTAACGTTTAATAACCTTCATTCTTCAGGGGTACAGCATGCTCCCCTCCCATCCCCCAGCTGTCTTAACAGTTTCAGAAACTTTTAAAAGCGTCCTCCCACTGGGTGTCCTCAAATTATTCCGGGAAGTAATACGATAGTGAGACGACTACATCAAGGTTTGAGGACTCGTAGGTCAAGATTCTCGTAATTGTGGACATACCTAGTGTCCCAAAGTTTTACTCTTATCTCTGTTTTCCTCGACAAAGTGGTGACTTCGAGAATCGTTCGAGGGTTTTTAGCCGACTGACACATTTGTTCGAAGGTGGAGAACTGAAAGGACGTGGAAGCTGATAGGTTTCTTGTGTTTTAAATGGTGAAAACGCTTTTCCTTTCTCGATAATTTAAAGGTATGTAGCTAGTGTGATTCATAGGATTCTTCGCGTGACTGTTAACACTAGAAAGCGTGTAAAAGTGCAAGAAAAATTCGTTGAATAAATAGAAAGATGAACAAAGTGTAAAAAGTGACATCTCGATAGTCTGTTACTTACTTCTTATGGATTATTGCTGGTTAGTGTCTCAACATTTTATTATAATATGTTGTCTGCCTGATTGTTACTCTTGTTAAACCCTATAGTCCGTATAGAATATCCATCGAAATTTTTCCAACAATTTCTTCAGCCAGATTGTTACCCACGATGTAAGACTTTCCGCAGCACAGTCGATTCGCTCGTTCACTTTATGTAGAACAGTCCGTGAGTTTGTGGAAACACTGGTGCCGTTATTTCTCGCATTGTTCCTAGAGACTCGGCGATAAATGGACAAAAAGTGTGGAATGTAAAACGCGACGAAATAAAAAGAGAACGCCTTCGAAAGGCTCATAACGATCCAATAAAAGATTGATAACAGGACTCGACGGAAAAACCGTCCGATTCCGTTGTTTCTAGGTCTCAGTTTCTCGTTGGATTTTGCTGAAGTGTACTGCAATTTTTGTCATGAAATGCACAAAAATGAACATTAGGATTCTTTCGACGAAGCTATGAACGGTTTCTCTGTTGATAGAACGTCTTTCGTTGTAAAATATCGATAGACGAAACATGTACTCTTTCAAAATTTTTCCAACAATTTCTTCAGCCAGATTGTTACCCACGATGTAAGACTTTCCGCAGCACAGTCGATTCGCTCGTTCACTTTATGTAGAACAGTCCGTGAGTTTGTGGAAACACTGGTGCCGTTATTTCTCGCATTGTTCCTAGAGACTCGGCGATAAATGGACAAAAAGTGTGGAATGTAAAACGCGACGAAATAAAAAGAGAACGCCTTCGAAAGGCTCATAACGATCCAATAAAAGATTGATAACAGGACTCGACGGAAAAACCGTCCGATTCCGTTGTTTCTAGGTCTCAGTTTCTCGTTGGATTTTGCTGAAGTGTACTGCAATTTTTGTCATGAAATGCACAAAAATGAACATTAGGATTCTTTCGACGAAGCTATGAACGGTTTCTCTGTTGATAGAACGTCTTTCGTTGTAAAATATCGATAGACGAAACGTTTCCTGATTTTTCCGATAGACTGTGACGCATAAAATAGCGGATTGTTCGGGTTCAAACTTCTGAACAAAGTTGTGTCGGACTAAATTGCAACAACTTGACCATAATAATAGAATTCGCATTTTCTGTATTTATTAACGAAAGGTATGAATTTTATTTATTTATTTATTTATTTATTAACCGGTAAATTTACAGTTACGTAAATTCCGTAGAGATAACAAATTACCTGTATATAGGCCTGTTTAAAACCGGCGATGTTTTAAACAAAATTGTATAACTGACGAAATTCGAATTTTGAATCACCACGGTTTTATTATTTTCTCTAATCCTCGTAATTATTTGTCGAAATATTTCGTGGAAGTACCGAGCAAAAATTTTTCGTCTTTTCGATGCACAAGTCAGCTTGTCGACGCCCGCGAAGCGAGCATGAAATTCGATTTAGGTGGCGACGATGTGTGTTATCTGTCTCCCGGTGTGTTCAGAAACGGTAACGGCAGTGACAGATACATTCGTCTGGACGTCCCATCGAATTAAATTTACATCGAAACGACAAACGGATCATAATTAATCTCCGAATACAGAAACGTATGGAGAGCAGCGCGGTGAATAAATCAAGAGAACTTAAAGGAACGAGCATGCGTCACGAAATTCGTCGATCCCACGAATGAAATATTATGTCACGGTGACCGTGCGTGGACATTTTTCTTTGAAATCAATTAATAGTATAGAGGAAAAAAAGGTAATTAAAAAAAAAAAAGAAATTAATACTGCCATAATATGGTTTTATATATGGAATATTAAAAGTTTCTTCTGAGATGCTGAGTACATATTAACGGTAGTGAACAGTTACGAATTTTTTTTAGAGATAGTAATGATTTCTTAATTAATACTTCTCTTCATTAAATATACATATTCATACATTCTCGAATGATAGCCGGTAATTTGAATATTTACGATCCTATAAATGTTATACTAATAGAAGAGTTACAGACCAATGTTCTCGACTCATAATTTCAGCTTGCCATCAGAAAAATGATAAAACGAGATACAAATTTCGGTAAAATTTATGGATTGCAATACTGTTTTAAAGAAGCAATAAAAATGCAAAAAAAAAAAGTTATAGTATTTTAATCGGACAGAAAGACAGAACAGGTTGCTTTAAGACGTAAATGTTTATGTAAGATCGAAGATCCTAAACATTATTAATTTAATGAAATGGACATTTATTTTACATACATATGTTATGATGTATAGAAACTGCCATTTTTTTCTGCCTTATATATTACTTAACAGTTTAATCTGGTGGTACTAAAAATTGTTGTTGTCAACAACTTCGTTCGATTTAAAAATATAAAAGTTATCCAAATTAGACCTATACTTTTAATAACTAGTGCTATACTATGTTATTTCCATAAAGAATGTAGAAATTATTATTTAATATTATGTAAAATAATTATGAGTAACATTTTTTATATCCACTTTTTTTTTCAACATAGCTAATTCAATACACATTTCTGCAAACTCAAATTCACGTAACGATCCACAATGCACTGTGTAGCATAACTATAAAACCACCCTAAAATGTCCAATTCTTATATATTATGGTCAGAATAAAAACAGATCCATTATCCCATGCCCGAAATCGTATCATGAAATAATATCTCTCCAGGAAAGTATAGATCAGGGGTTGGCAAACATTTTAAATTTTGTACCACATAAATAAGAATCAAAAAATATATGTACCACCATAAAAGCATTTCCCGATTAAAAAATCAATACATCTCAAATGGAGTGTTTATAATCAAAGAATAAAACATTTTAAATTTATTTTATTTAATTATATTCGTAAATGACACTTTTACACTATAATAAAATATAGTAGATGATGAGTAATAATACATGAGCAAATATTAAGGAGATTTCTTATTGGTGAAAATTAATGCGAAGGATGTGCCTGTTTCCTTAAACATGTTTAATATTAGTAATTTATTAT